CTAGTAAGGAGCATATACAGCAATTTTGTGGAGAAAACAACATCTTGCAGAATTTTCAGCACGGCGTCCGGAGAGGACGTTTCTGCGTCTCAAATCTGATAAATTGTCTGGAAGTTTGGAGTAGGGCTTTAAAGGAGGGTTGCCAGGCCGGTGTCGTAAGCATCATGTGAAGACGATCGGGGAGCTCCCATCAACCATTGTACATTTTCGATCGCAACCAACAGGACTACGAGCCCTTGGCCCAGTGGTTAGAGGCATTGGGCTTTTGGCCAACAGGTCGCGGGATCAAGCCCCAGATGTTCTCCACTTAGGCGTTTGGCATAACTAGCTGACGAGGGCCACTGAGCCAGAAACTGCTGTCATATTCCGCCTCGAATTTGTCGGTAATGCCATTCTATATCGATTTCCGTAATGCATTCGACACTGTCCCGCACAGACGCCTTCTTCATAAATTGAGATTCCTCGGCATCCGGAGAGATCTTTGGAGCTGAACAAGGCCGTTTCTGGCTAGCCGAAAACAGGGCTTCTGCATCGGAAAGGATATGTCATACTGGGTGAACGTGACTAGTGATGTGTCTCAAGGATCAGTTATCGGACCCTTGCTCTCCATCCCTTATGCTAATGACAGCCTTCAAGAAGTGGACTGCAATAAAATGATGTTTGCCGATGACGTTAGGCTCCGGCAAGACATTAAGGACCCGAATGAACAGAAAACCTTCCAAAAGAATCTGCACCGACTGAAAAAGTGATCCGCGAATGGCCTCTGGGTTTCAGTTTGCAGGAGTGCGCAGTCCCTCATCTGCGTTCAACTAACTCTCATTCAAATAACAGCGTGAGGGCATATCACCCGAAAGACATTTCTCTTCCCACAAAATCATTACAAAAGGCTCTGGATGCTTGGATACAGAGGAACATGAAACCAGCACTGCAGTACAACAAGGCTGCAAAAAACGCCATGACAGTGCCTCATGTGATTAAAAGGGCGTCCTTAACATTTGACAAAGTCCTCTTTGGGAGAGTTTACGGCACCTTTGGTCGGCCCCCTCTAGAATATGGCATAGAAGCGTGGCGGCCATGGCTAACAGAGTACCAAAAATGCCTCGAAAAACTACAACACAGTGCAACAAAACTGGTAAAGAGATTGAAAAACCAGTCTTACACAGAAAGACTGAGCTGTCTTAATTTATTCCCTCTGTGACATAGGCAGCTCGGAGATGATCTTATCCTTGCTTACAAGATCATTCGTGGCCTTCAGCCTGCACTGAGCTTTGAGGAAATATTTCAATGGCATCTCACGGCCAATCTTCGTGGCCACTCGGTGAAGATACGCACAAAAATGTCTGGACTGAACGTCGCTCTGAATTTTTTTACGCAAGGGATAATGAAGAAATGGAATGATCGCCCTCAATCGGTCGTGGAGGTGGGATCCCTGCAGCTCTTCAAGAAACGCTTGTATGATTGCTTGTGCCCCCTGGTAGCCCTCGAATGTGGGAACCTGAGCGTAATACCCCGTGGATCCTAGGAAGGTTTTCTTTTAAATGGATGCTACTCAAGTCATGCAAGTATTATTTTAATAGTGACAGTCTTGATTATCCGCTTACAGTTGTATATAACGTACTAACATGTATCAATAGGGCTTTCGAAGGTATTACCGGTCATCCTTACCAAATAAACTGACAATAATACCTACACAATTCGGTGAGTTGACCTGCTCAGGTGAAATGGTGTAACAGACGTAATTGACCAACACCCTTGTTTTAATCTATGATCGGATTTTTATATTTTCATACTCTCTTGTGGCCGTTTAAGTCTGTACCCTTAGTTAATTAACCAGGTCTGACTACTCCCCTCGATAGTAATGCGTCCCCATTTTAATAAACTGTCGTTTATACCCTTTGACCGTTGTTGTCCGTCACTCACTACTCTGAGTGTTTGCATCGGATTATCAGAACTGATGGATCCTAAGGGACACACTTATTAAGGACTGAACTCGGAAGTTAAGACGCAGAGTTTATGCACTGGTCCCAGTGACTTCATGTCTACCCAACATTCAGATCGGCAGGACGTTACACCGCGGAATTAACGGCATTTACTGATGCCTGTATGTTAGATGCGCCAATAATTCATTTCTAACAAACCTCACCTTTTGCTGATAGTACTATTTTTTCTTCAGGCGATTCCTGTTTCGCCGATACTATGCACTTTGCTTTATTTTATTTCGGTTTGTTTTACTGATCTACCCCTCCTTCTTTTGGTTTATCTGGCTGTGTCTTGGTGGTCTTGGGGCGGTTGGCGGGCCACATGTGCCCTAAGTGGTTGTCTTTCGAGAATGTGGACCTACCCGATCAGCCCCTTACATGATCTCCACTTACGTAGTAGTTTCTTTTTGTACACAGTTTTGTACTCTAGTGGTTTGTGAACGTAGGTTCCTTTCAGTGTCTCGCTTCAGTAAGCCAGCTCAACCTTGAATCGCTCAAGGCCCATATTTTATGCATACTACAAACAGTGGAGTCATCTCCATATTGATGTCGAAATTTACTAGCGAACAGTTTTGAAGTTGTTTGCAGTGATCTGTATCACTCGTACATAGTTGTGGACAAGTTAACGGCTCACTGACTTGCAGTGATGACAATGAATGTTCCAAAAATTATGTTCCAGTATGCCCCAAAGAGCGTAAGCGACCATGTAAAGTATGTGTTGTCCATATGCTATGACCTACCAAGTCACAAACTCATTGAAATGGCTATATCTCCGAGAACACTTCAAAAGATGTAGTAATTCGCTTTTAAATAGTCTTTAATGTCTACAATTTCGAAAGATCGTAGTATGGCGGGTGCACTTTCGTTGGCCGTCGGCCGCCCCCTCGCAACCCATAACTAGCAGTCCCCTAACGACACTTAAGTACGCAAAGTATTAGAGCTCAAGAGGAAAATTTAAAATAAGACCAAGATTACAGGCTAAAAATGGGGTCGTTCTAACTGTGTGGTCGTCGCCCACTGGATCTGTGGATTAGTCGTCCTCTCCGAAAGTTCTTTCGGACGTGAAGTACCTGCATATACGTAAGACTCGGAAAATCGTGATGAACTCGCGCACAGATCTCGTGTCAGTTCGAGGGAGAAAACAGTCTGTCCCAATGACCGGACGTTCGCCAGTGTCGCTTGTTTTCATTTCACTTCTGATGCCCAAAGCTGCCCATTAGGACAAGGGTGGGGCTGAAAGCACCTGCATTCGACTACCTGGGCTTTGAAGGTTCGCTGCCTTCGATTGTCAAAGTAGCATCTAGAGCGTCTCAAGTTGCTGCAGTGTCACGGTACGTTTATCTGTCGCCACCTGTCTCTATATCCAATACAAACAGAACCGATCGCATATTTGACCCGCGTTGATTGCTTCTTTATGGTGGGTGAGGCGCCTAACCAAACCTCAGTTAAAACTGCAAACTCTTTGGTATGAGAAGTGGTGAATAATCTTAACTCGCATATAGGTCATAGTAGATGAGAGCGTTCCTTGAGCTGGAATATTTTAGACCATGTATCTTTGGTGCCGTTTGCCTTCTTCCACCAATGAATCACCCGTTGGCTGCCGTATTTGCTTTTTGGACGGAGTGGCTCGACATCATGCGCCATAGTTGAGGGTCACTTACTTGCTAAGTGATTTAGGTAGATTGATTAGTTACTACTTACCTAAATGACGTTCGCGCAAGCCTACGTTGACAGGAAATCGTTGTGTTTGACTCGGGCCGAATAGTGTCAGACACTACTGATTCGGGTAGTAACGCCCTTCATTTTTTTTTATTGTCGGTCACTGGAACGTTGTTCTCCGGAACATCACCGTTACTTCGGGGCCTTCAGTTGTCATTGCTTTTCGGTTCGATGAGTTAAATACGCTAGTAGATGTTAAAATGCTGCCTTAGTATACCTAATCTCACATCGGAAGTAGTTGATAATAATAACAATAAAGTCCTTGGGTTTCCAGCCGACTGCCCACCATGACCACTGTTGAAGCAGGCTGCTAAGTTATCTGATCGTAACATATTACTCAGTTCCAAAAGACTTACTGAATTACCCTTATTTCCGGCCGGACTCTGTTTAATAAGCTCTCAACTCATTGAGAATCATGAATCCACCGTCTAAATCATGGGATGCTGTCGCCACGGTCGGACATCCTTAACCGATCTCAGTCCACATGGATGTGGACAGCTAAACATGAAGCTCAGCCCATAACTCTGCGTTCAGACGAGCGAGAGCAGTTGTGGCTGTTTGCATGGCCATCTAACATCCTCGCCAGTCATTGCTTACTGCGGAATGTGTTCACACTCCCCCATCACTTTTTCTATTTTATCACTTTTGCCAGTCCCTTGTCATCTCATTCTTTCAAGTAAGATATTATATCCTAGACGTGACAAATCGAAAACAGTTGTGCCGAGCCCGCTTGCTTGGACTGAATCGAGCTATTTTGTGGCAATATCTTGGGGCTCTTTGGAATTTGGACCAGGGTGCTCACTACCGTAAATTTACTAGGCTACCGTGGACTTGCCGTTCTGTCGTAACTTTTCCAATTTCTGTTCACCAGGAGTGGATAGTTATCAATAGCACGTGCACCATAACCTGTCTCTAAGTTCACTCAGTATCCTACGGCAGTCCTTCAAGTCCTGATTCTCTAGCTCATGCGCTAAAACTTCCACAGCCGCAACCAACTGTTTTGCAACCGATGTGGTGCTCAGATCATCAAGGGCTTACATTCGGATAGCGGTGATCATGTTTTAAGCAGAACAGGTCACGAATCTTAGCGTATGTTTGTGCTCATCTGTGTTTTTAAATGACGATCGCACCAAAACTTGAAGAAATTAAAGGCATAGACTACAGCTGGAGTTAAAAACATTAAATGAGAATTTCATCACTGACAGACCACATTTACCAAACAATTAATCATCTCTACCACAGAACATTTCCCTCACTCAACTCTAAACCCTTCGTTCATTTTGTTTTCAGGTGACACATGGCTGCCCTTCTCGAAGATATCTTTGATGTCAAAGACATCGATAAAGACGGAAAGAAATTTGACAAGGTCTCTCGCCTGTTTTGCGAGAGCGAGTCTTTCAAAATGGGTCTCATTCTCGACATTAACTCTCAGATTTACCCACTGAATAAGGGAGACAAGTTCCGCCTCGTTCTCACTAAGAGTCTTCTTAATGACGCCGTAGCAGATGACGATGACGACGATGAAGATGCGGCAGAGGAAACAGACGGCCGTTTAACAAACAGCAAGATGGCCGAATTCGATTACGTGTGCTACGGTAAAATCTATCGTATTGAAAGCCACGACAGCTCCGTTGACTCTAGCCGTTTGGCTTGCTATGTGTCCTTTGGCGGTCTGCTAATGCAACTGACTGGCGACGCAAGTAATCTCCAGGGTTTTCGTGTGGGCAAGCGCATTTATCTGATGATGAAGAAACTGGCCTTTTGAGGCCTTGATATGATATCTCCCTGAACTTTGTATACATTTCTTTGTGAATAGAAACATTTCTCCTGTCTATAAAGCCCATCACCCTGATTTGGCTGTGCTATCCACAGGTTCACAGGTCTATGCTTAACTTCCAGCATGCAATTTGACAGAACCTGACTAGATACCATCTTTATTACTTCAAAACTGATAGTCGTCTGGAGGTCGCAGCAAACCCCACTAACTCTAGGTAGGCGAACCCTACATGTGTGCCTCTCTAGGAGCCGACGACGCTGCTGACCGCATCGGCTCTTCTATGCTCGACCATTAGAGCGGTAATGGCAATTCGATCAGAGGTCCAGGCGGATAACGTTGCCGATGGACTCACTTTCGCGTCGATAGGGCGCGCGCCCGAACCAGCTGAGTCGGTTATCCCTTCCAAACTACGCGCGGGTGTTCCTGGTCAGCAGTAAAATCCGATTTTTAGAGCTTGGGTCGTGTTTAATATCCGAAATATTCAAAAGGGGCACTAGTTGTCATACACCTCGGCCATTCGTTTGTCATTATTGCGTGGAGCAGTTTTGCAGTCGCAGGGCGTTATAGATTCCACAATGGATTTTTCCTTTGTATCTTACGGTAGGTGACGAAACGTGCAGCGTCCAATTCGTACTGTGTTTTATTTCCTGGAATTAGCCAAGGCAGGCAAGAAATCGCCGTTTCGATCCTTCAGTCGTCAGGTAGAGGGATGTGGGCATTTCTTGTGTTATGGTTCGGTTTAAAGCCGAATTTGTGTTATACAACGAACATACAGCCGTGACTCGATTGCGTGGTCTCGTGTGGACTCCTCATCAGGGCGTTATCATCCGCACAATGTTATGCAACCTATGCGTCCAAAATTCGCTAAGGATCGTGCCTATAACCGCGTCATTCGCATAGTTTGACTGGCTATAAGGCATTCGTGACAATTACCGACGTTGGTGGCGAGATGCTCGCCCTCTTTGCCACGTCCGAGCGTTTGTCACCTACAGGCCAAATGAAGCTGCGGAGTTTCGGGAGTACTGTCAGCCCCAGGGTATTCAAATAACCCTGCCGAACACTGCTGCGAAATTAAGGAGGCAGACGACCACCTGTCGAAAGCGAGCGTTTTTGCACAAAAGTCCGTCGGAAGTCGAATCTCAGGTTGACGCTGACCCCCTCGGGACGAGATCTACCAGTTATTTCGTGTCCTCAGAGTATATTTGCAACGGTCTGAGCGAGGATGTCAATTGAGCTAGTGTCTGTGCGTTTGGGCTACTCTGCGGTTCTTCCTTCCGGGCTGACAGACATGTGCAACCTATTCGAGCAGCTCTGGAATAACATCACAACAACTCTTGCAGATCTGAGACGTCTATTTTTCACTCGAAAGTTTTGTTTCTCAAGTGCCGGATGAAGTGAGCATTACGAAAGAAGTTGCGCAGGTCTCACAGGGTGCAGTCAAAAGTGGCAGATCAGGCAACTCGTCAAAGTGCCTTTTCCGGCGCGTCAGTCGCTTACCCAGCAGGATTAATAGAAGTAGTCAACTTCATTTTAGTCATTCATCTGGACGTCGACTAGTCCTGCGCATGTTGGAGAAGCAAACAACTTCGCTGTGTCACCGATGGTCGGGACCCACCCAAGTCAACGTTCTGCCAACGTCGATTTGGGAGAACCCTTACTGGCCATAAGTTTAATGATTCAATGCCTTAACTGCCACGGATTGACCCGCATCTTGCGCCAGTGCATCTTGCTGACCCGTACGCAGTCTTTGTGTTTGCACCGGCTGTGGTTCAGGCTATTGAGCAAGGACCAGCGGTTTCGTTCTTAAATACAACCTACTCCTTATCTGCAGTGGTCGTCCGCCTGTCGTTTTTAAGGGGACCGAGGGGCTGATATCCATTGTCGCATCGGCAGTCTTGGAGTTAGTCCTGCCGGTATTGGGGCTCCAGTTTCTTGGTGCCATTTCATCCGACCTAGCTGGGGACAAAGCTTGAAGGCGGTCGTAGAAGTCGCATCTCTTTATCTTCTCCAACCCTGTGTGTTAAGGCACAGCCAGTAACCACTCAGGCAACCATGGACTTCTAAAAATCCAGGCGGAGTTGCTGAAGCAAAAGCAATGGCGAATCTAAGGCCGGCATTGTCGTATCTCCAAACCAAGTTCAAGATTCATAAGGACAAATTGAGATTTGTGTGCGTCCGCTGCGAACTCACAGTGAATGGTCCGGTGACTTGACGCAGATCTTCCTCGAGATTAATGTGGCCTGCTCGCCTTCATATTTTGTCAGCAAATTGTCTCAGGTATTCTGAGAAACAGTGCATCCATAATAAGACCTCTCGAAACAGTACTAAGTGCTGACGTGTCGGGTGGTTCGGTCGCGCAAACATGTGCACTAGATGTCTTAAACAATAGGAAATCTCCATCGCGACTTTTGGCGTTCCCAATTCGTTTTTGTGCCAACGTGTGTTACAACGGGGCTGACTCCTCTTTACTGACTGAACCAGATTTAAATTACAGTTGAATTTGTCGAGGAGAACCCGTGGTTCAGCTAACCAGCCAAAACGCTTGAGTGAGTGACCAGTGGGTAGGACAGTTTCACGGAAGCAAATGAGAGGCAGGGGTCAGTTTGGGGTCCAGCTGCGTGTCCATCACATGCCCTCAGGCACACAGAGGAACATCGCTATTACACGGCATATCCCGTCAAGACCCCTATAAAACCTTATTAAACCTAGTAAGACCTGAAAGATACTTGCTTGTTCGTATCTGCATGCATTGTGACATTGGAAAAACCCTCTCTCGTGTCATTTTGAACTACTTGAAAAGGCCTACTATCGCTCCACTACTGCAAGAGTCCTGGTCCGTAACAATCTTTCCCAACCGTTCGGTATTCGGTCTGGCGTCCGACAGGGTTGTATCCTGTCACCCATACTGTTCAACTACGCTATTGACTGGATCCTCGGGA